ACAGCGAACAGATAATGGTGAGCGTCTGCTGCAGCTATGCTCAGACAATCGTTTATTTTTAGCAAACACAAATTTTAAGCATAAGGAGAGACATCGTCTAACATGGCGACCCCCTACACCAAACCAACGATGGACTCAAATAGACCATATTGCCATCAGTCATCGTTGGAGAGGGTCAGTAGAAGATTGTCGCTCATTCTGGAGTACCTGCTTGGACTCCGACCATGCCCTAATACGGGCACGCATCTGCTTGCGCCTCACTGGACGCAAAAAAGCCACATTAAAAAGACCCGTTAGAACTGATTTGAGTAACGAGAAAACCAAAAGTAGGTTCCAGGAACAACTGAGGTCACACTTAGGTAGTTGTGAAGACGAGGCTGACCCAGATGTTGCTTGGAAAGCCATACAAACAGCCGTGGAAACAGCAGTGACATCTATTAGTGACTTAAACCACAGAGTTGCAAGGAACCAGTGGATTTCTTCAAGGTCTGTCACACTGATGGATTCTCGCAAACTCGTCCCATTAGGTCCTGAACATGATGAAGAGCGAAAACAAATCAGATCTAGGTTAAGAAAAAGTCTAAAGAACGACCGTGAGCAGTGGTGGGTAACGAAAGGAAAAGAGATGGAAAAGGCGGCGACTATAGGGAACACAAGACAGCTTTACAGACTAATAAAAGAAACTGGAATTAGTAAGTCAAGTGTAAGTGAGATTATTTCGGAAAAAGATGATACTCTCATCTGCTCCCAGTCCAGACGTTTAGAACGATGGGCGGAACATTTTAGAGAACAGTTCAGCTGGCCTTCAGCTACTCTACAACTACCCACCATTCCCAGACAACCTTAATGGAACATTGAACTAGGTCCCCCTACTCTTGCTGAAGTTCAAAAGGCTATAGTTAATCTGAAACGAGGAAGGGCAGCTGGTCCAGATGGATTGGCTCCAGAGGTCTTTAAGGATGGTGGTCCAATTTTAGCGATTAAGTTGACTAATATTTTAGCTAAGATCTGGGAATTAGACTTTATCCCATCTGACTGGTCGCAATCACTTATCGTCCCAATATATAAGAAAGGGTCGAAATCATCCTGTGACAACCACAGAGGGATTAGTTTAACAAACATAGTATCTAAAATACTGGCCTCGATAATTATCAAACGCCTAACTAAGACTCGTGAACTACAAACTCGAGAGAACCAAGCTGGCTTTAGACCTGGTCGTGGCTGCATCGACCACATATTCACCATTCGTCAGGTTCTAGAACACAGGCATACCTATCGGCGTCCGACGATGGTGGTCTTTCTTGACTTAAAAGCAGCATTTGACTCGGTAGACCGCGAGATTCTGTGGCAGTGTCTGTCATTGAAAGGCGTACCTCAGAAGTACATAAACCTTGTGAAGGCTCTTTACTCGAACACTACTAGTCGAGTCAGGGCTTATGGCGAACTGTCATCTACTTTTGCAACCTCAAGTGGTGTCCGTCAAGGCTGTCCACTTTCTCCATTTTTGTTCAACTTCATCATAGACCTATTGATGGAAATAACATTCTCGTCGACTGAATTCTCGGGTATTGATCTCCTTCCAGGAGGTCCACTTATCGACTTAGAATACGCAGATGACATAGTCCTGTTTGGTGAAGACGCTGACAAAATGCAGAGTCTTCTGGTAGCACTAAGCAACAATGCCAGAATGTTTGGGATGCGCTTCTCTCCCTCTAAATGCAAGTTGTTGCTTCAGGACTGGTCTGCGTCAACACCTGAACTAAGGATAGGGAGTGAAGTAGTCGAACGCGTTGATAACTTCACTTATCTTGGAAGTCTGATCAGCCCTAATGGGTTGGTATCGGACGAAATCTCAGCACGGATTCGAAAAGCTCGTTTGGCTTTTGCCAACTTGCGTCACCTTTGGCGAAGGCGAGATATCCGTCTATCAATAAAAGGACGAGTATACTGCGCGGCAGTTCGTTCTGTTTTAATTTACGGCAGCGAAACATGGCCCTTAAGAGTAGAAGACACTCGTAAGCTACTAGTATTTGACCACAGATGCCTTAGAAATATTGCTGGCATCTGCTGGGATCACCGGGTAAGTAATAGTGAGGTTAGACGCTGGGTATTAGGGAATGATGGTAAATCAGTTGATGAGGTTATGAATCTTCATCGACTGAGATGGTTGGGCCACGTGTTACGTATGCCTGAACACCGATTACCACGACGTGCAATGCTAACCGGGGTAGGGGATGGTTGGAAGAAAGTTAGGGGCGGCCAAACCAAAACGTGGCATCAGTCCCTGAAGTCACTAACTTCTAGTCTGAGCCATGTTGGTAGATGCAGACTACTTGGTTGGGGTCCGCGTGACTTTCGTAACCAATGGTTGGAGACTCTTGGGGACATGGCTCAGAATCGATCACAATGGCGTCGGTGTATACACTCCCTGTCTTCCCTTAAACTAAGAGACTAAAATCACTTCATTCTTTCTGTCTACGAACTAATTCTTTCTTCCTATACTATATCCTTATTGCAACCTTTGACCTAACCACTCCTATGAATCCGGTGTTCATCTTGCTGTGCTAATGAGGTATGGCAACCTGGACCGATGCACATATGTGCCTGGTCCTACGTTGTAGCTGACTGACTGACTCTACTAACATATATAATTAAACCCATCAGCTTTGCTTGATATACTCATCAAAACCTATGTGTGTTGATATACTACTGAAAATGTATACGTCAATAAAACTATTTGTTTGTAGAAGAACTAATTTTTGTCGTATCTAATTACTTCATCTTAAATAGACAATGTCACAATAATAATAAAATTTGGATTATGCATTTATAGCAGTTAGACGGATCAGATTATGGTAAAATATTTCATGAAAATTGAATTTAGAAATTATCAAGTTACATACACTATACACCATACAATATTTATTTTAAAAATAACTACTGAAAAGAGTAATCGTTATTTAATAACAATTCCAAATCTTAATCATTTATGCTTACGTACTTCATCGAAACGAGACTAGACAAAACTTGATGTAAGCAAAGATAAATAATGGCTAACAGTGGAATCTAGGACGTGCGTTTCGACCTATTTGAGACTCGTCATCGTTGCTTAAAAAGCTTGTGACTTAAAGCTATATCGAGGCAATCCACACAGGATGCATATATGCCAACATGAGACTGATCAATTTCAGTCCTAAATAACAATGGGAAGATACAAGTAAAACAACGCCAAGCGAATTTAAAACTTTATGTAGTTATGTATAAATTAAAGTATACACAGACAACTTGAACGGACAATATGTACGAATAGTAAGGTATTTTAAAATTGGATTGAATGCAAAGAAAACAGAAAATTGATATCCATACAATATTATTTGGAATGCTTCAAATTGTGTCATCAAAGAATTACAGAGTAAAATACTATCATGTAAATAACATTTCATACGAATCAAACTATTACACGATATGTGAAGTGTAAATCATTATTCTTACTTGACAGTTGGTAAACAATATTCTTAAGTTCTTATGTTTGTTACTATGTTGAGTTATTGCTATATACCAGTAAGAAGTAATTAATTACATCCTAATTTTACGATGTACCTCTAAGAAATCATTTAATTATTTACAGAATTCAGAGTTAGAAAGAATAAATTATCACCGTGCTTCCTTCTAAACAAAATCTACTAATAAATAATATATTAAAAATTGCGTAACTGTTTAATATAAATATTTAGAAGGTTTTCACTTTTTCTAACGACATCAAATAAATACAGACCTTTTATTATGTATTTAAAGGCATCGTTACCCTTACTCCTAGTGTTTGCTTATAATATATCTAATTTTTATTGATTTCATCAATTACTTTACCTTGAGTTTGACCTCATAAATTATTTTGTCTTCCTCTAAAGTACTTATCAATGTCATTGAGTTTGTATGGTATTGTTTAATACTTAGTCAATATATGATTATATTGTTTAGTTCGGTTCTGAAGTATCTCGCACAAAAAACCATTTACATTAATATCTGACATGTTTATATGATCTATTTATTTCAAATGTTTTATGAAAACATATCAAATAAATTGTTTGATTCACTCCAACAGAGCGAAAATTTACAACACAACTAATACAAAATGTATAAGCCACTACATTCAATGTTCTCTAAATGATAAGGATGAGCACATGAAATAATAACCACACATTGGTAAAATGACTAATTATTATATAAAACAATAGATCAGTATTTATTGGTCCTACATACTGTATGAGATGCAAATGCAAACTAAATGATAAATTCTACAGTGATTATTCTAACTCGATTGTTTGATTAATGCAATGCATGAAATAAAAGTATATATTATCACAGAATACATTAAACATGTGATCACTAATTAGTTTACCCAATAGTTCCAAATATTTTATGCGTATACAAAATCAGGGATTATAAGTTTTAGTCAGTTGACACACAAGTAAATTAAATGAGTTACATGTAAAATTGTTTTTTATATATTTATAAACTTGTTCCTTGATCTGTGTTCTAAGTTATCTTCATTAGCTCCCATTATATTCATTCAATAAAAGCGACATCGGAAATAATAATAATAATAATTATTATTATTACTATGACCATTCTACTTCGACTATGAGTTATCCCTTTACTCTTACTAAGAATGATATCAACATCTATCTACTGAACAAGTTAGTTTCTATCTGGATTGAGTATTTCAGTAGATAATGCATTGTAGTTTGAAGCAAAAGTTACTCATCACAACTTTCATTGTGAATATCGATGGTAGGATTCAGGCACATCCATCTGATGAGTCTCAAACAGGGCGAAATATGCCCCCAGGATTCTACAGATAGCCACAATCCATCTGTCTTTTATGATACATTCTTACGTTAATCAACAATTTAAACAATAAACTGGAAAAAATATTTTGTCAAGTATTGGAATTTATTATAAAGTGATTATTAGCACAAATATGTATAGTTCAAAATATGTTCTGCATTTAGTGTCACAAGTAAGCGAAATCAAATTTATGTAGTTTTAAATGGAATAATTCAAATGAAGATTCTAATTAATAGACTAATAATAATTGGAGCATTATTGACAAATAACGAAACAGCTATTACATTTATTTTTACAGCTACTTGATAATATTTACCCGATACTCATACTTGAAATGAAAACCTGTTTGTAATTCTCTCTGATCAGTTAGTGATGAAGACTTTCTTCATTTTATTTCTTACAAATTTATACTGATCACATATATATCATAACAATTTCTCAGTGAAGTATCTGAAACAGACGAATAAAACTAATCCCAATCAATTTCATCGACATCATTATCACCTTTTTAAATTATACAATATAGATTTTTAACTTACTGGCAATGAATAACGGGGATATCTTTTAGAAGTACTACATTTGCTCTCTTTATAATTTTCCAAAGCATTGGCTACATTATCTTTACAATATTCTTCCTTGGTATTAGATATATGATTTTCATCTTCTGATATAATATTTTCATCATCTGGTAAATTTATTTCCAAATGTTGTGTTGCAAATGATACACGTTGAAGAGAAGTACTTCGTGTTTCTCTTCCAATCACCTCATCTATTTGTTCATTGTCAAATATGTCAGAAGGTTGACTAGTTAATTTTTCATCTATATTACTTAAACGTAAATTACATTGATCAGGTGACTGTGAAGAAGATAGTCTTTCTCTGATAAATGAAATAGGCACTGAATGCTTTCTTGTGTAATTAGATGAGATATCTTTAGTATCAGTTGGTTGTGAATGTTTACGTTTAATGAAAGCATATATTATTGATGGACTTCTTATTCGAGATAAATTAAATGGAAATTTCTGTTGACTATCTACTGAATATTTTTTATCATGATCATTATTTCCTTTAACCAACTGATAATCTAAATTATCAGGTTTAGATATAACACCGATTCGACGAACTTTTTTCCTTTCTTTTGATATCATTTCATCTTTCTGTAATACTTCACTTATGTTAGTAATCACATTTGAATAATTTATTATTAAAAATTATTATTAAATAATGTAAATCATTGCGGATTAATTATTTTTATTATTAAAATCATCTATATCCCAAAAATATGTAAATTATATCAATTTACGAATATATCAATACGGCTATCATTAACAAATGACTGACCAATCATTGTTGAGTATTACAATTGTCGAATCAAAACCTTCCTTTAATATAATTGGTTAAAAATGATATTATGTAAATCGGTTGTATTCCAAATTAGAATAGTTATGATTCAGTGTATGATGTTTATTAACTTGTTCACGCTTCATTTTATTTTAAATTTTGGGTCTTTTTTTCAGGAAACATATCATTATCTAGAAGCTTTTAATTTATCTACCTAGGTACTTCAAATTCCGCCCTGGGATTTCAAGTATGTTTATTCAGAAGAGTTATGACGCCTCATGATGAAAGTCGATATTCTTCGGAAGTTACGATACCCATACTCATTCAAACAACCAGAGCAAAATTTTTTATAGGTATATGGAGTGTCTGGACAATATGAAAGACTGGTAGGAATAATCAAATTGCCAAGGAAATGAGGAGATACAACTTGATGGTCGTCTGAATCAGTGAAACCCATTGGACCCAAACTAGACAGAAAAGTTTAGATTTGGGAGGGATGTTGCTGTACTCTGGACACTAAGGGGAAAATGTTCCGCACACTCAGGGAGATGTTTCTATCCTGTCCAGAGAAGCACGAAAAGCAGTCATACGATTGAGGAAATCACTAAACTGCATCACGAGGCAAACGCTGACTTGGACTGCTGAAGGAAAATGGAAAAGTGGAAAGCCAAGGAACACATCGCTTCGATAATTGGAAGCAGACATGAATAGGATGAATAGGAACTGGAAAGAACCAAGAAGGATCGTTGGTGTGTGGTTTATGCTCCTCCACGAGGGGCAACAGGAGTAAGTAAGTAGGTATAACACAAATAAAAGTACTCATAACTACAAAGTATATGACTAGTAATAAAAGTTTCACATGTAATTTCGAAGGATCAACAAGTTGTTTATTTCTAGTTGGCTGCCTCTTTTTAGGCAGCTTTAGTGGATACAAACTGCAATACTTAAATATTTATTCATCCATTTTAAAGATAAGAAACAGTTTAAATCAATACAATAATACATTAGACTATTCAATTGTTTAACTAAGCAACCAAATCTAAATAATCAGTCCTACACCATTTTACGCAAACGGAGGTCACATGGAAATCTTGAATTTATAACACTTTTATTTACACAAGAATGTACCATAATTCTAAATAAAACTGATATAAGAAACAACGAGTTTTATGGTACACATATCGCTATCTAGTCGTCAGCTCAAAATTTAGTGTTAAATACAGTTGAAATTCGGTCAATAAGCCAGAGCAGCTTATGCCAATCTAAGCCATCTTTGGCGCTTTTCTGATGTTCGTCTGGCTGTACAAGGTCGGTTCTACAACGCGTCGGTGAGAGCAGTTCTGCTCTACGCTTGTGAACCCTGGCCTCTCCGAGTTGAGGATGTTAGACAACTCTCAGTGTTCGATCATCGGTGTCTCCGAAGGATTGCTGACATCCAGTGGCATCACCATGTTTGCAATGCAGAGATTCAGCATCGTGTGTTCGAGCACAGAGACGATAATGCAATTGGTGTCATCATCTTGAAACACCAACTTCAGTGTGTTGGACATGTTCTACGAATGTTGTCCCAGAGAATTCCACGTCGTGCATTATTTGCCGACGCTGGGACTGGTTGAAAAAGCGGAGAGATGGCCAGTGTATGATATGGTTTCGGAGTATGAAAGAAAGTTGCAAAGGGTTGGCTTTTGTTGGTTCTTCACGACTCCCTGGCTGGGATCCTAGAGATGGTGCAACACAGTGGCTAGAGACGTTATCAGCTATGGTTAAGAATAGAAGCCACTGGCGATCCTGCTGTAACCTTTTTTTGCTTTCTTCATAAAAAGTGCTTGTAACTTCCTTAACTGAACGAATTCTTTCTGGTTGCACCTTTCCGTTTTCCTTATTATTATTATTATTATTATTATTATTGTTATTTCACTACCATACACTAATCTGTGGTGATCATTGTTCTCTCTAATTTTTTTCTTATACTCATCTTACGTTCTTTTTCTCTTCCCAATCTCATTGTTTTGTGTGGTGCATATATATCTGGTGCCTCCTTGTACCAATATTTATATGTTCAAATAAATAAATACAATAAACAATACTTTTAAGTTGTCACCATTATTATCTAATTTCATCTGTAAGCATCCATCTATAGTTGTGATTTAAAATCCCTTCCTGAAGATAATTATATTTTAGCATTGAATAAAGCTATAATAATAATAATAATTATTATTATTATTACAGAAAGAGCTGTTACTTATTTTTAAACATAGAAAAATAATTTATGATTTAACGTTTATTAATTTTCAAAACGTTTCCAGTTCATTTCATTTTATAGTAAAATCAATTTCCCATAATACAAAGAAATATTTAAATATTAAGTGTGTAAAACAAATACAAGTAATAAATGACTTATTATTATTAAGGCGTTTTTCTATTTTATTACTAAATTTAGTTTATTTTTATTTTTTATTTTTCTGATTATCTCATAGTAACAATTTGTTCACTCTTCTCATTTACTATACATTAAATTTTTTTCGGCGAGACTCTAATTTAGGAACGAGTCAATCAGAAGCGTTTGAGCAATTTCAATTATTAGCCAATCAGAAAACAATTAGTATAAAGTAAAAATATATTGTAAGAAAGTAATGAATTACAGTGGATATTCTTCTTTTACATGATTTGAAAACTTCTTAAGGTTTGATAAAGGTTCTGAATTCATAATGCATACGGTATAGAGACTCGTCCATAGGGCTAGTGTTTTAGCCTCTCAAAAATCACCTCTTCTCTAAAATCCTCTGTAAACCGATCGTGTGTTAACATCACGTGTTGAACTTGGCTTCGTGACCCTGAAATTGCTCAAACGCTTCTGATTGTCTCGTCCCTATTTTAGAATCTCGCCACCCTAACCCTACTGACGAGTTTCTATACCGTATGCATTATGAATTCAGAACCTCTAAACCTTTATCAAACCTTAACAAGTTTTTAAATCATGAAAAAGAAGAACATCCACTGTAATTCATTACTTTCTTATAATATATTTTCATTTTATACTAATTGTCTTCTGATTTATACGAATATTCGTCAAGATTAGAACGAATAGTTTGACAGTAATTGAGCGCCGAGTATAGAGAAGTCATTATATGTGAAAATTATATTTGAAATATTCTCAGCGATTGAAATTTAACTAATTCCAACGTTTCGTCCAGCTAACTTGTCCAGACAAGTTGGAATTAGTTAAATTTCAATCGCTGAGAATATTTCAAATATAATTTTCACATATAATGTCTTCTGATTGGCTAATAATTGTCAAGGTCATTTAAGATTCGTTCAAAGGTCGTCCCTAAATTAGTCTCACAATTTTTTCTATTTATTATTAAAAGAAACCAATATTATTCAAATTAAAATTGATTTTTAATAGAAAGATAATTAAATAAATAGATTATTATTATTAAAAAAAAGTGAAAATAGGAAACAAAAAGAGAACCTCAGAAGTGCTCAACCACGATCCCGCACCCCACGAGATTCGAACCGCGCCTGAACCGGCATCCATCGGTGTTAATGTCTGACCTCAACCAATCCACGAAATTGCGCGACCATCTTCCATTGTATTGAGGTAGACACCCTTTTCTACCCAACACGGATTAGTTCCACTGGTCACGGCTTCTCACCAGATCTCCGAAAATTTTCTCACGAAGCTAGTCACTAGTGAGCACATGGTAATTATCAGTTTAGGCGTTGTGGAGATTGGTAATTTTTTCATTGAAATCATGAGTCAATTGAGGCTAGACCACCATGGAAAACCTGGAAGCTCTGGACGGCCGTTTCGTCCTAGCATGGGACTCCTTAGCAGTGCGCACCCACGATCCCGCACTACGCGAGATTCCCTTAAGATTGGTTGAAGTTAGAAGTTAACACCGTCGGATACCCGCTCAATGGTCTAGCTGGTTAAGCGCCTGGTGCGAGACTGGTAGGTCCCGGGTTCGAATCTCACGGGGCGCGAGATCGTGGATGACCACGGCTGAGGGGTCCCATGCTAGGACGAAACGGCCTTGGAGTGCTTCCAGGTTTTCCATGGTGGTCTAGCTTCAATTGACTCATGATTTCAATCAAAAATTTAACAATCTCCACAACACCTAGACGGAAAAAAACCCATTTGATTTTAGAGAATAACACTAATATTTATGAAAATACTTAGTAGTATGTTGATAGAATCATTTTTATATGGGTAAATATTTTATCGCTTGATAAATCATCATTAGATTTATTTTTAAATGAAATAATTTAGTCATATTAAAAGAAGATAGAATTCATAATTGTTATATCACCGATGAGAATAGTAAATGGTAAATGTTTAAATCTATTTCTGAAATAATACTATACGTATATTTTTTGTTGTTTAATAATTGTTAGGCAACTAAACCATTCATAGTCGTGTTTCTATTATTATAAGCTTTATTTTGAGCTATGAACTATTATTATACGATTTACCATTCTTGAGTTATGCTCAGTTTATTAATTACTATCTCCCACATTTACAGCCACTGTCGGCTAAATCTTGTACAAATGTTATTTTCCATTTTATGGTACGATGTGGTCTGTTTGGTTTGTGTATAAACCCAGTATGTTTGAAATGTATGATTCATATCGCAGAGGCTGAGATTGCTGTTCTATATTTAACAGTCAGGGCTAGGCAGGAAGAAGGACCGATAAGTACTCTAAACTGCTCGTACGGGTTTTATGCGTCATTGGTCCGGTTGATAAATCACTGTTCAATAGTATTTTAAGAGTTATACATGAAACGATATATTTTTGATTGAAGGTTTAGACTATAAAAGTTACTACTGAATTGTCTTATATATACTATCTTTGAATATTGCTGAAATACACCAAAAAATTATTTGTATGGTTTCTAAAAGCTAGGAGACACATTTGTACATTTTGTTTAATGAAAACAGACTCTAGAAACTTATGAAAAATTGAAGGATTATATGTTAGACTATACGTGATGGATCACTTACGTTGTTATTAAATTTAACATGCTTCCATAAGTTCTCAGGGATCAAAGGTTACCTATAAACTTATAAATGCTACATTTTTTAA